CTGGATCTGAACCATGATCCAGATCACCACCAAAATGTCATGGTGTCTAAGTTTGGTTAACCCACTAATGCTGGTATATTTTGAAGCCAAAAATAATAGTTTCCTGGCTGCTTCAAAACTGGCACCTGGGGCTGGCCTGGATCTTGCCCGCGTGCCAGGCGCAGCCCACGACAGAATCAGAGCACAAGCTCTGATCCAATGTCTCACTGGCGGGATGCACGGCAATGTTTATTTTTCCAGCTGTCTCATATGTGGGACACCCGTCGTAAATGGGTTAAAATACACCTCTTTTAAAAATCTCATTAAAATCTGTTCATAACAAAAAACACAATCAATAAACAAATGGAAGTAACAATATATATAAACATAAGGTTATGGAGCACGGAAATGAGCTGTGTATCCTTATATACATATTTTTACATCGCCCTGTCCTTGTTTATCTTATTTCACAGAAGTGTTGATGTAAAAGTTGGGTGTTTCATCCCGTAGAGTTACAACACCTGGGACCGTTGCCTAAAAAACACGCCTGGAGCAGAAGTGTGATATTTGTTGGCCTTGAGAACGATCCTTTTTTTGGCCAGTATTAACATCAGAAAAGACCATTAGAGCAACAATAAAGGGAAATAATTTATAATTATATCATATAAAAATATTTCATACATGATTGGTTCTCTATAATGTAAAAAATAAAAAGAGGGGATAAAAATTGCGATGTTTCTGTACTGCACACTTTTATGCACTGTACACACATTTTCAGTCCGATTTAACATATCAAGGCTCATTTTGTAGCTAAATAATAGATCTATGAAATAATGCAATGAGTTTTTGCAGTTTTTTTGTGTTTATTGTAAAAGTGACATATATAAGCTGCTTTTGTGGCATTCTTAAAGTAGTCTATGTAAAATATTAAAAAGGACAGGCTCCTGCATATCTTAGTCAAAAGATTGTTCTCTTCAGATATGAAATATGAAGGGCTGTATTTTTTTTATTTTTTGTATCTATTCATTTTTTTTCCCCCCAAGAAAAATTTCAAAATTGGTTAATTTACATCGAGAAATACCGTCATGGAGGGGTTAAACCCTCAGTGACAGTGACAGCTATAACTGTCATGACGTAACAGCCTATTATGTTTAAAAGCGTCAAAACTCGCAGCAGGTAAGCTGACTGTACACAGCTTAGGCCTATAAAGTCTAGACAAATAAGGGTTAAATAAGAGATCAATCAGAAACATGCACATTTATGCTCTGATATAGGTGCTAATGACTAGATTCTTGTTTGGGGATGGTTTTCTCAAACTTCTAAGCACACTGAGGAGTCGGAGAAATAGAATAACAAGATCACAACAAAGAAACCATTCCACACATGTAATTTCTGGTACAGGAAAGGTTAGAGGCTTTTTGGAATAAAACCAATTCAGAGGAGTAATGTCCAGGTTCCAACCCTATGGACAATGAATTTACAGCTACAGGAGTGAACATAGGCTACCCTTCTAATGCCAGGAGTTGGAGGCAAATTAAACAACAACAACAACAACGCCAGGGAAACAGCAAGCCCTGTCAATTATTGAAGCAAGTCAGGAATATGAAGCTTAACATTTTTTAAATTGTTGCACACTGCCCTCTCGATGATACCAATTATCTATTTTCTGAAGATGCTACAGATGTTTTAGCAAGGAGGAAAAAGGCATTATTTATCAGTAAATTGAAAAGTTGTTGACATTTGAAGTTATCAAGGAAATGCTTAAACAGGAGGAACAAATCATATCCCAAAATTTTCTGGAAAAAGGATGGGGGTTTTAGGATGATCATTTACCTGTAAGATCTAAACAGGTACATTAATTACAGACTTTTCAAAACTTTGAACAGGTAATTTGACTTATTGACAAAGGAGATTACATGACCTCAGCTGATCTTAGGCATACATAGCACTCTCTCCAAATTATTGAAGAACAACAAAAATTTCTTTGCTTCCAATGTCAAGGAAAAATCTATTGGTTTACATGTCTCCCTAATGGAGTTACAGAAGCGCCACATATTTTCACCAAATCAATGAAACCTATTTTTGCTATACTAAGACAGATGGGATAAACCATTACCAGTTCCATTGATGACACTTATATGCCACAGCTCATTAAAAGGATGCTATGAAAGTATACATTCAACTGTTCTGAGGAAAATGGGTTTTTGTATTAATGAAGATAAATCAGTCCTGTACCTAAGAAAATGTTTAGAATATTTTGGGAACATCACTGACCCAAGAGGCAATGACAATTACATTGCCTACATAGAAGACAGAGAAAATAGTCAAAGTCGCAAAAAATTATTTCATGGTAACAGAGAAAATCTGGAATGTGGCCAAAGTAAATGGGCCTTTGGTATCTGCAATGCCAGCAGTAGAAATGGAGAAACTGCTTTATAGAAAGCTGGAACAGCAAAAATTTCAGCATTCAAGGGGGGGAAAACAGATCTGGTTTGGTGGATTAATCACATTGCAGTGCGACAGGTAAAAAATTTCAGGACAGGAACGGAAATAGAATTGTATACTGATGCATCAAATTTAGGATGGGGTGGTTACCTAAATCTATCAAAAAATTAATGGAAGATGGTCAATAAGAGAAAAAGAATTGCATTTCGACTTGAAAGAGATCAAAGCCATCTTACTAGCGGAGAAAGCATTTGCACATCAAATCAGTGTTTTGTAATAACATGACAGCAGTAAACTATGTGAATGAAATAGATGGCATGAAATCCACATGTATTGATATCTGCTTCAAAACATGGGAATGGTGTGCATTAAATGATGCTTAGAATACATGCTCTCATGTACCTAGTTAACTTACTAATTCCATGGCAGATGCTGCATCTCCAAACTTTAATAATAGACATGAATGAAAAGCAAATGAGGGCCTTTTTTTTATTGCCTCTAAACTAAATAAACAAATACCTCATTTTTATTCATGGAAACCTGCCCTGAAGCTGAATACTTGGTCACACTTCAACCTAATCTACATTTTCCCCTTTTGCTTTGATTGTTAGATGCCTTCAGAAAATGCAAGCAGAGTTCACAAGGGGATGATTGATTGTTGATGGTTGACTGTGGATGTTCCATCCATGGATGGGGACTTATTTAAAATGCCCATCAAAGAACCATGAAAATAATGAGAAGGAAAATGTGCTGTGGCAGCCATCAGTACTAGATGAACATCCTGTAATGAAACACCAGCGACTGAAATACAGTATTGCCCACATGACAAGTGGATACAATCTTATGGTAAATGGCATATCAATTCCCTTAATCCCGATGTAATGAATATTACATATTTCTAGTCCATCACTTTCCAAAAAGGTGTGGGCTATGACTGTCAATACAGTGAGGGCAGCTTTCTCCTCTCTAGGGTTAGTTGTGGATAGTTGCAGAGTGGGAAATCACCTACATCAACTGGCTCCTAAAAGAGTATTTAATTTGAGGACATCAAAACCAAGGTATACAAAGAACTGGGACACCAAGCTGATGTTGCAGAAACTCAAAACTGTATAACTATTATGCAGTCTAAAAGAACTAACAATAAAACTAGTAATGCTAATGGCACCACGCAAAGTCTGAGTGCAAACATTACATTTGTTACTGCTAAAGAACAGATCAATTTGTCTTTGGTTAGGGTGTATGAATAAACAATGCAAGCCAAAATTTAATATGCAATTTGTGGAGTTTAATGCATACACAAAAGAGAAAAGACTGTGTATGAAATACTGAAATGTACACTAAAAAGACTGAATGCTTAAGAAATGATATGGATCAGAACATGATCTTATTCATTAGCATCATAAAACCACACAAAAATGTAACCTAAAACACTATTGCGAGATGGATTGAGATAATGCTTAACCCATACGATCTGGGTGATATTACAGTACTGTCATGGAAAATCTGGGTCATGGGCCAGGTGATGTGAACATACCATCATTGGACAAAATGGCCGCAGGCACGGTGACGCAAAACTGCTGTCATGAGTGAAGGCCAGGATGATGGAAAAGACTCACCACAAGTGCATAAACCTCTTGGAGTGTGATTAGACTCATTTGGTGCTTAGAAGGGGGCTTTTGAATTATTCTCATCGATAAACAAATGTGGAATATAAGGTGTGCAAGCTGTGGCTGGAAGAGTGTTGGCTCCAGGGAGAGTGCCATTTCAAGGCTTTGCAATATACTCCTGGCCACTGTGTAATGAAAATTGCAAAAAAATAAGATATAACACAAGTAACCAAATGCTACATATTTTTTTTTTTTTTTTTTCCATAGAGTTATTTACTAAATAGATATATGATATGGATTCTGTGCAAAGAAAATAATCCATTACCATCTAGATATAGCAAATCAAAAGACAAATATGGACATTGGAAAATGACAAAAAAGTTTTTAAAAAGTTTACCCAAATTAACTGCAAAGGAGAGGTACAGAGTCTTGTCACCACTCACGAGCATTCACGCATGTCTGGTGATCACCTTTGCCAGGTACTATTACAAGATGATAGTTCAGGAACTTGACATATTCCAAGAAGCTGTACTAGAGTTGCTGGAGTAAAATTTATGAAGTACATGAGACTTACCACCTGTCAATTGAAGTGTACTTTGAATTTTATGAAGCTTTCACATGCTCTCTACTCACAAGAGGGATAAAACACTCAAACAATAAGAAATGGTAAACTATTTGTCATGTGGGTGATCGCTCACTTTAAAGTCTTGAGGTGTGAAGCAGCATGGTGTATCTTGTATGAAAGCACCCTTCTAAAAGAGGAATTTTTTTCCCCTGAATATTTCAATCTTTTTATCTATTTAAAAATTCCAGTGACAGCTTCTGGCAAGTACATGTTGTGTTTGTGCACAGCTACTAATTCATTAGTATTCTATGTACTAACCTGCAAGGTGTAAATATTTAATTTTTATTTTGACTCAATTTGCTTTAAAATACTTCAAGGTTTTAATACTGTTCACCATTACTCACCTGTTCTGCCACAAATCTGAAGCCTTTGTCTTCCCTGATGCATTCATAAGTCTCGCCTAAAAGAGGGTTGAATGGTTTATGAGCTGCACGGTAGATGGAGGAGGCATAAGCGGACACTGCAAAGGCAGCTACTAACACCATTCTATCCCCAGGATCTTCAAGTCCAGCAGCCTTATCTAATAATTCACTGTACTCTAATTCTTCACACATCCTCTGCAATGAAATTCATTTTTGTAACAGCTATATCCTGTATTCATAAAATCAATATCAAAGTTATTTTTTCTTATTACACATAATCCTTTTTGATTACTATTCATCACTACAATGCATGACTTAAAGAAATAATACCTGCAGCATGTTCAGAGGTTCATTAAGGGTCACTGGCATGCTAACTTTGGACAAGTCCTTTCCAATATTTTTGTAAAGGAAATTCCAAACAGAAAAGTCTTCTGTGAGAGGCTTAGGAGCTGGAAGTCTGGTCCTCCGTCCAGTAAAGCACTTCCCATCCTCTTCAATCTCTGCAGCTGTGTTCAGTGAGAGATACAAACTATCAGGAAAATTTCATTAAACTAATAAATCAATTTTGAGAATGTTTTTACTACAGAGTTAAAGTGACTGCAAAAAGGGTTGGGTCTGCTGCGTGAAATAATGATTCCGAATGCTTGCACTTAGCAGACATCTACTAGGCTGGAGTGTATATTTGGCAACACAATGAAATTCAGGAATGTCTCAATATTCAGAGTAAGAAAGCTCCTGCCTTATACTCTCTGAGCAACAACAAAGACATAACTATTCTAGTTTTGTCCCCTTGCACAACTCTTACTTCATCAGCTCCACCATTTCTGCTTCAAACTTCCTTACAAACCAATTCTTAGAGGATGAACGGGGAAGATAACTATGGAATTTGGAAAGAAACAAAGGACTAAAGTATGGCAGTTTGGAGTAGTAAAACTGATTCATTATGCTTAATAAAGCAACCTACAAGGCCAAGAAAATCTGCCTATTATTTGATGAGAAAACAAGCTTGATTTCTTTAGAAACCTTGCAGGCTTTATGCTTAAGTGTATTGATATGGTCCTAAAAGCTATGTAACTCATACAGTTTATCTTTAATTTCTTGTTTCTATTTTCTTTGGAAAGAACCCAGTCATTTCTACAGACAATAAATATATCTAACAACTGTACATATAATCACTGCAGAAAATATTCTTCTAGTTACTTCCAACGTATCTTATCGAGTTTATCAAACACAAAATTGATTAAAAATAAGAAACATCAAAATAACCATTAGAAATTCACAAATGCCACAGGAAGCAAGCAAACATGCATGTACTCATGCGCACAGGTACACATACATACATCATTGTCCATATATACACATGAAAATATACTGTAAATTTTCAATTGCAAGCATATGCAGATTAAATACTTAGCATTACAGGAAACAAACATGACATCTTTTATGCAAATAAAATAGCACTGGTAAAGTTATAGCAATCCCATTTTCCTTTTGCCATTACTTAATAGTGATGACAGTCATGTTAGCACAAGCCGGTAATTTGACTAAAGACCCAAATTGGAAATGAAAAAGAAAAAGTGAGGTCTTAACCCATTCATGCTGGATGGCGTTTACCTTCCTCTGGTTGCTTTATACACATTTTTGTACCTTCAGTTGAGGTAGTTTTAGAACATGAGCTTAAATCCTTGTTTTCATTACCTTTATTAAGAAATTATTTAATAGGCTTGTCCAGAATCAGATGGAAAAAAAGAAAACACTCTCGCATTTCTAATTCTCATCTCATGGGCAACCTTCACATTAACCCTGCACAGCAGCAATTATGCTTTGATCATTTCCTGGTGCTGGTGGATTAACCCAATGGCATCAGCTAGTTTTGTTCTATGAATTTCATATGTACAACTAATGGCTCCACAAGCATTTATTCACAAAGGAGTCTATTATCTGGCCTACATAGCCTTCTTCCCCTGATTTTTTTTTTTTTTTTTTTTTTTTTTTTTTTTTGTCCATGCTATTAATTTTGTTGCTAAAGTCAGTTACTGAATAAATGAATCAGAAAATGTTGCTGGAGAAGGAGCTGTGGCCAAGCCTGAGGGGTAGGAGACCTTTACTAATGTCAATGAGACTTCTAGTGCATTTCTTGAAAATAATTTTGTTTTATAACAAGAGGCAATTTACGAATGGATATAATTAAAACTGCTTTTCAGTTTAAATTCATTAGTTAACCCAATGCCAATGAGAATGTAGTGCATTCCCTTTGGCAATGCTTGGCTAAATGTTTCTGCACATATATGGCACTGCCAATGCTTAGCCACAAAGGAGTCAATTAATAGATCTTGTGACCTCATTTTCCCTTGAAAAAGCGGGAAAACACTTTTTTTTTTTTTGCTAATGCTATCAATATTGACACTGTTATTTTTGTTATAAATATTATAATTACTATATTGTTACTGACATTACTAACAGCAGTATTAAACACAAAAAAGTATTATAAAAAATCAAGGAAAAGGGTAAACAGGTGAGACAGATAGTTCGCGTAATTGGCTCATTGGTGACAGTACTTGTGGAGCCATCTATATGTAAAAACAATTACTAAATTCAACACACACAATGGGAGATGGCATATACGTACATGCTATGCCCGGTGGCTTAGGGTTAATAAAATAAACCATATGCTATTAAAGAGAATGTTTAGGCAAAAATATGGGAATCATCCTTTAGATCTGATCATCAGCACATTCATAATGATTGAATTCAATGCAAATCACCTATGTACGTGTATATTACCATATCTTTAAGGCTGTTTCAAACCATGGCTGACACTGCTGGTAATGGAAACTTTTCTAATTTGTTTATCAAAGGATTTAATGTACAGGTAGCCCTTGTTATTCTTTGTTAATATTGCCTATATAAAAAAAAAAGCAAATAATGATACACTACATCCCATAAGAGTACATTAACACAGTTCAATTGGGTCCTGAAGCATGGTTAATTAGAAGTCTGTCTTGTGACAGCCTACATACATTCACCAAATTAAATAAAAGTGGATAACATTATCTGAGCCATACTGCACAAAAGCAAACTCCAGGAAAGTAAACACAATCAAATGCTTACTCAGCAATGATGATAAAGTGGTAGGGCACATAAGTAAGGGAACCGTCTGTTTCCCCCCCCCCCCCCAATTTTCTTGCCAATTTTGATGAAACTCGCACCCTTTTATTTAGACCCTAGCCTGATCTCTGTGGTCGATATTTTTAATTTTTTTTTTCTTCTTTTTTTGAAAATGTATCGAGGGGTGGATATCCTCATGTCCTCAAAAAACAATTAAACATTAAATTTTATTTGATTTTTGTACAGAACTATCCTATAGCTACAACTTATTTGAAATATCTTTTGAATTTCAACATACTTCTTTTCTTTTTCATAGGGGTGATTTTTTAAAGTAAGTTACTTCACGAAAATAAAAAAAGTGAAAAACTCTCTTACATTTGACACTTTCACAAGAAACCATAGGCAAAAATTGCAAAAATGCTCTTGCACAAGTTGTAGCTACTTTCTTTTTCTACAAAATGAGCCCTAATACATTAATTTTGGACAAAATTTGCACCTGTGAGGATTTCCACGATACCTAAAGGTGGTGTTTCGAGATATTGTCATTTTTCGTTTTCTTCATCTTTCTATGACTATCCTGGTATCAACAAAATAAGGTATAAGAAAGATCTCTCTTTATATTAATCCTCTATCATCTACCTGCATTCCGAAGTCTTGCGGACATTGCCAGCATGTAACAAATGGCAGTGATTTGAGGTGCCTATGGGCCTACATTAACCATTTTTAAATATTTCTCTAAAATCGAAAAAAAAATCATTCAGCCATTCTGAATTCATATCTGAATAGAACAACCTTTCTACTATGATATGCGGAAGCCAATTTTTTGAAGTCGACCTCATTTTTTTAGGGGTGAAAATTTTCTGAAGCCCACTATCTCAACACCCTAAAAAGGGATACTGAAAATATATGTCACTTATTGTAGTATGTAATAGATCTATTCAGCTACAAAATGAGCCATAATATGTTAAAATCGGACTGGAAATGCGTAAAAATGTGAAGAACCTAAACATTTCAATCTTTTTCCTTTTTCTTTTTCTTTACATTTTATATGTGAAATCATGTACGGAATACTTGTATATCATGTAATTATCTATAATTGTTGCTCTAATGGCGTTTTACGTATAATACTTGTCGAAAAAATGATCGTTCTCCAGTCGGACAGGGTATCATGTGTGTCCTGTTCTCAGCAAGACCAGTGAACATCGGGCCATCATTTCACCCGAGGATCCGGTGTTTAACTCTACGGGGCCACGTAGCCAATTTTCACACTCAGGCTCCCATAAGATACAATATACAAAAATACATATACAAGGTATGTAAGATATAGATCATTTCCGTATATCCCATGACGTTTTGTTTATTTATACTGTTACTTCTGCTAGTGTGTTTGTTTGTTTGTTTTTTAATTTCTTTGTTTTCTGATATTTCTTAAAGTTAAGATCACATTTTAATGAGATTTTAACCAGAGGTGTGTTTTAACCTAACTTAGACACCGATTGCACTTTGGTGGTGATGAGGCCCATAGTTCAGATCCAGGATTTTTTTTTTTTCTAACTTGAAAAGTTATGAACATATTTTAATAATTTTTTTACCTGAGGTATGTCTTAGCCTAACTAATATTCCATAAAGTTTTGGTGGTGATCTGGATCACTTGGCAATCCTACCTTCATTTGGGGGGGGGGGGGGTTCATTTTCAATATGTTTTGCTTATAGATCAAACTATGTATGATGAAAACATAAAGAAAAGAAAATAATCCATATGAACAGCATCTCATGTTTATTTGTATGAAAATATTTTTCGTTATCTTTTTTTGATGCTTGCCATATTTTAAAAACTTATTCCAAAAAATGAAGGTTGGTCTCATCTTACGTGA